TTCTTCTTGGTCAATCAAATCAAGAAGAAATTCTACCGAACGACAGCCTAAAAACCCATTAGTTTCAGTTTTGAAAATGTTGTCAAAATTCCATTAAAGTAAGTCCTTTTCAACAATAAATGTTACTCAAATTAAGTAGCACAAATTCCCTTATACGAAAAATTCATAACTATTCAAGTGGCGGCATCTGCCGTTTTTTACATCAAATTTGAAATATATCAAAAAAGTTAGACTTAGGTATAAGATATTATACGTCAAAGATATTTAGAATCTGAAGTAGAATTCAAAAATTTAATAATATATAGTGTTCCATTTAAAATAAACAAGTTGATACCTACTTCTGGTGTAACCGGAAGTGCGGCCTTCTTGAAAATATTTTAGATCGCTTGCCCTCAATGACTTCCGCACACTGTTCGATTTCCAAATTTCTCCTAATTACAGTTTGCCAGATATCGGTCGCGGCGGTTCCCGGTGGGACACTCTGGATAGCACTAATCTAATAATATTCATCTGTTAAAACATCATCATCTTAGATTTCATAGACTTGCTAACTTTAGGACTTCTTTACTTTTTGCCTCATAATAGTTCTCAAAGATTGAACCATGCAATAATGAAATACTACATTACAGAATGTTTCGAGATTTGTAAGAAAAACACAAGTTCAAAAATCAAGTCAAGTTTTTGCTTGTACCACTGACTCGATTAAACAAAGCACTCGGTCTCAAATTCTAGTTTGACTGCAGTCCCTTTTGGACTTATATCTTCTAAATAATCAGTATTTTGGGAGAATTTAAACACTGAGGGCACAGAATTTCGTTTCAAAAGATTTCTATTTAGTGATGACCCTAAATAATCGTCTTCCTTAAAATGTTCGCTACATATTACAGAGTTTGGAGTAGGGTTAAAGTCTATTCGCTGAATGGCTTTCTTCCACAACTCTAATCTTGCTGAATTTTTGATTGGAAATCTGCAATAAAATCAGCATATGTGAATAAAATGACCAACGCAAAAATATCGGATGGGTGGTCATTAATTGACGGGTTTGTTGCAAAAACCGGTCCGTTCAATTTTTTATCTAAAATTGACAATATAAACAGACTTTAATGGCATATTTAGGTAAAAATAGAGGAGACGGGTTTTTGCTCCAAGCCCTTCAATTATAAGGGTGCGTATAGATATGGGAGCCGAGCGGTTCGCAAACCGCTTGTGAACAGCTTATAAGCAGTTTGTTGAAATTAATCATTACAACGAACGTCCAGCGATCTATGGGAAAACAACGAACCTCGAAATATTTTGCAATTCTTTCGTTATTCGTCGAGTGCCGGAGCCGGTAAGAAGCTAGCAAACAGATCACCTTTTATCTGTCTGCATTTCTGCTTATTTCAAGACCTATTTCTCCCCAAGCATCTTCTTTTAACGGCTTCTTAAAATGGTCCTTATGTTTGGGATCCCAGAGTAACGTTTTGCTTTTATATATGTATCGATCAGGGTAAGTATATTTTCTTCAGACCACTGATCCTTAATTATTATTATTGAATTTTAAAAAATCAAACAAAATTAATCTGAGCAGTAGGTTCGCGAGAAGATGAAAAACGACGAACCAAACACGTCGCCGTCAAACTGTGAACCAGAGACAAGAAATAATTATCCCTTGTCTCTGCTGTGAACCACTTGTCTTTATCTATGCTGAGAACTCCTTTGCGTTCGTCAGAAAAAACGACAGGAATCGGATCGTCGCGAGCGGTTCACAAGAGGTTTGTTCGTCGCTCGTAGCCACGTCTAATGCCGGCGCCACACGATGCTACGAACACCTTCCAACGTTGGAGGCTGGACGGTTCGTCGCATCGTGTGCCCTACTTTCGAACTTTGAGCTACGAATGTCGAGCTTTCAACGCGAACATTGGAACATGTTCCAGCCTTTGTCGGTATTTTGGACCGAGTCAATGCTGG